TTACTCCTGGAGAAAATTACAAGGAGCTAAAATCTAAGATTTCCCAAGAAAAGAAAAGCAAAAAAAAAAAGGAGAGGTTGAGAGCAGAGATGGCAAGACGAGAATAATGAGAGAGATAGAGAGGTTATATACCCCACTAATTAGCTGGGGTCCTCACAAGTTCAAGGACGGTTTCAATTTAGCTGATAAAGATGAGAGGATGAGGAAAGGAGGGAAGGGTGAGATGGGTGAGACTTCCTACATCTTAATTATCCCAATGGTTTTTTGGCGGGTGGTGCCTTGGGGTAGTGTGTGTGTGTGTGTGTGTGTGTGTGTGTGTGTGTGTGTGTGTGTGTGTGTGTGTGTCGGGGGAGAGAGCAGGGGGAGCTGGGGCTGACGAGAGGAGTTGGAGGGCTTCCATGGAAAAGCCCAGTCGTCTTAACCGGGGCCGAGTTCAGCGTGGGCGCGGCCCCAAAGCTTCGCGGGGTCGACACTTTCCCTTTCAATTACTCCACCGCTTGCACAAGGATCCCCAGCCCAGGAGGATCATGGGTAACACCGGGGTTAAACACACATGCATGTCTCCATTCACATGCATACAGATTGACTCTGCCCAGGCTGGTAATACCTGCAAAATAATCTGTGCTGTATATTGTCGAAGGCTGAAATTTATTGTGGCCGTGATTCGAGAGAGCATCAGTTTTGCCTCAGGTGAATACCAATTTTCTTAACCTGTAATCCTCGCCACAGTTCATCTGAGGGAGGGAGAGCGGGAGAATTGCTTTTCTCTTGGTAGAGGGGGAGTCAGTTTGGCACAGAGTGAGTCACTGGTTCTGTTTACATCCACTGAGATACTTCTTTTCCATTATTTCTGTTTTCTATGCAGTGACAGAAGGCTTTACATTAACACACAGGGCCGGTCTTAGGCTTTTAGGGGGCCTAGGTGAAATGCTGTTTTAGGGGGGCCCTCTTCACATGTTAACAATACTGTCAAATGGCATCTTTGCTTTCTTAAAGGATGACTTTCCTCTAGGGATAGATGTGGCAAAAAGATCAGGCTAGTTGGCAGCGACTGAACTTTTAAAATTAAATATGTGAATATAGCAGCTTTTAATGACGTGATCTGTACGATTCATCTGAAAAGGAGATCATACGCCCAAAGTAAGATCGTCCACAATATAAGATCGTCAGCTCATCACCTCTACTTTCTACTAACGACGCTTGTTACTGTAAGTGCAGTAAAACACCTCAGAGTAATTTATCAGAGTATAAGCTCCTATTGATACCCATCCCTCACCCTAATATGTCATTAGACAGTTAAATGCCCATTTCTTCAAATACAACCCCACTTTGTATACAGGCTTTAGGTAAATCAGATCTTCACCTGTCAAAGTTTTATATGATGTAATTTCTGTTGACATTATGTGAGGTGGAATATAACACAAGGAGGTTGAACTGCAAATTTATAGAATATTAGCTAAGAGAAAAGTATGATTTCTTAGGAAAGGGAGAAGGGTGGGATAATAAACAGAATTTTGATGACTTTATTGCAGGATGATGTCACCATTAAAGACCTGGACAAATTCAAAATACATTTCCCAAGTTCTAATCCTGAGTCCCTGTGTTGATTGTTCAGGTATCTTTTGGTACATGCCAGATACAGTATATGCCAAAAATAATTTTAAGCACTACTGTATTAGAATCCCTCTCTTCTCTGTTCCTGTGTTAAAATATTTTTGATGACTCATCCTGCAGCATATACATAAAATTATCCAATCAAAACATGACCCGTGACGACAAGCTGCCCCTCCCTCAGTTGAACCTTGGTTTTAGCCAGTGTCCTACTCAGAGTCAGGAAAGTTGCCAGGTTTGGGTCTGGTTTCTTGCACCAATGGACCACTGCAAAATTTCAACCACATTAAGCATCACAGTAATGATCTCACTCTACTTTAAATAAATCTCGTGTTTCTTTTGTGAACTGATACTCTATTGTTTATTGTTTGTTTATTCTGACCTTTATGCTTTATATCACATGCAAATTTCCTGTTTCAGCAGGAGTAGAGGCGGAAAAAAGCTGCTCTCAAATTCCCATTCCCCTGCAGTTTGGGTTAAGCTGTTTTCTTGAACTTTTGACACCCTGCAATTGAGTCTCCATGTTACCATGAATAAACCAGTTGACAGAATATCTATTTCCTCTGTGACTGAGCTGTGGTGGTTTATTTCTAATACAGCAGCAAAAAAGGATGATATGGTTTTCCTCCTGACACGAAAACGTACCATATAACTGTGCAACTGGATTTACAGTTAACAATGACAATCATAAATAGAGGGTTTAAGTGTTTCTATACTGTTATATAGAAGCATATACTGTATAAGCTGTATAATCTTTGAAGAGTAAAGCAAGCAGCTTTACTTAGCTGAATTGCCATGTGTGGATAAAGGGAAATTACACTATTTTTTTTAAACCTGGTTCTTATTTTGTTTATTTTTGGCCAAATAGACATTTTACTCACCAGCTCTGTTGTACAGATTTGGGAAACATGAGCACAGAACGGGCAAGGAAACTCCTAGCATCAAAACAAGTGTACAGCCATGCTAGCAGCACTGTGAGGCTGTATATAGATACAGCACTCCTTTGAGCTAAATGCAAACATCAGCATGCTAACATACTCACAATAACGGTGCTATCATGCTGATGTTTAACAGGTATAATGTTTACCATGTGGTCTTAGTTTAGCATGATAGCATGCTAACATTTGCTAAGTGTAGCTCAGGCTACGTCATTCATTTTACAAGTATTTATTGATAAACCCATAGACTGTATGTAAAGATGGACGTAGCCTCTGTGACATCGCCCATAGGTTTCTGAAGAGCAGTTTTGAAGCTCATAGTGAGCTGCTTCACCGTCACCATCTTGGCAGTGTCTGACTCCGCCCCTAACTCCTGGCTAATCCAAAAATGGGCAAAGGGGAGGGGCGTGTGTGGAGCCGAGTCTTTGGTACATTCTGGTCTGTGGCAAGCATATATCACCCACTCAAACTTGCCATAACTCTTAATAAAATGTAAACAGGTGAGTTATATAAACAGTTGTCATGAGGAAATTAGCTGTAGAGACAAAAACAGTTTTTGTACCAGGCTGTTTATTTCTGATGTAAAGAAAGAAACATTTTAACATGGGAATCTATGGGGACTGACTCACTGTTGGAGCCAGTTTAGAGGAACTGCAGTTTTTGATACTTCAGTGTTGATGCTTCATTTTTCAGCCCTGGAGGTTTCCGCTTGGATAAACCAAAGTACTGGACAAACTGAAATTTGGACTTGATGGTTGTATAGGAAAAGTCAGAGGATCTTTAGGATGAATGTCTGTACAAAATCTCACAGCGATCCATCCAGTACTTGTTGAGACATTTCAGTGTAGATCAAAGAGGTGGACCGACAGACAGACATTACCTTTGAGCCAGGTTGCTCGCAAAACTTCAGTTCAACAGAAATCATCTCAAACACTCTTTCAAACACTGGAAGCAAACACTGTAAATCCCTGCAGCATGAAAAACTTGTTCATAAAAAGTATTGTCCTTCCACCTTGAAATTCAAAATATTTATAGCTTTTATGAATGGCCACACAGGTGATGGAGGAGGGGTGACAAGGCATTACCAGGTATTACCTGGAGATAACAGTCTACATCTTCAGACGCCCTCTCTACTGGATGAGATTCAAAAGCAAGCCCAAATTTAGCATTGATGTACTGGACTTGTGTCCAATTTGTGTTTCAGCTTATTTATAAAGTGATTTGGACAGATGTCTAAAAACTGATTGACAGATTTGACTATTTATTCAGTTAAGTGACAACCAACTATACACTTCCAAGTGTATCTTTCCCTAATGAAATGCTAATGTATGCATATGTAAATGTCTTGTTTACATTTGCACCGCTTGTGAACACTAGCGCAAAAATAGACTGGCTGCTATGTGAAGTGGGGCTGAGAAAAAGAGATTATTTTCAATCATCTTGTCCTACTCTGCAAGTGTTCCTGTGTACATACCTACTGATGCATTCAAATAAATCCGAATTTTGAGTTTAATCTTCTTGTGCGTCCTACTACATAAAATCTGGGAATGTTGTGGTGCATGTGTAGATAGAGGTTTTTTGGGGGGTGCAGCTTATATATCCTCATAATGCACACAGAGGGGGAGCAGAACAGACTGTTTTCTTGTGATTTCTCCCGGTGCAGGATGCAGTAGGTGCACAGAGGTGTAACGCACATTAACACATTTGGAAATACCAACACATTTCATTCACTGTTCCCCCTCGTAATTCTATTATTGGCCGCCAGCAGCATTCAGCAAACAATGTAAACCTAATCACATACATGAGGGGCATCTCATTAAAGGGAAATGCGTCCCATTGGAATCACATTAAGTGAATTCCGACATGCTGAAATGTAGAGCACATGATTGCATGTGTTAACCGCTGGAGCACTGGAGTGGAATACATCAGCATATTTAAAGCAGGAAGTAATCCCAGGTTAACCGTGTTTATTGAGACTTTAAAAATATGTTTTTTGTTTTTTTTTAAATGAAGAAACATTAGAGAGTAAATGAGAAGGTGGATTTTAAGTCTCATGCAAAAACAAAACAAACAAAAAAAAACTATCTCTACTTTCTGTCCTCCAAAGTCATATAGATAATGAGGTTTGGAAAACCATAGTGTTGGTCTTCTGAGAGAGTCAAATATATCAAATATAGCATACCATACGCCTGCCACACCAACATGACTGTCGCTTTGTGACAGGAGTCGTCGCATGTTTCATTTGAAGTCAAAGCCAATAATCTTCCAATGTGGTTAGGGAGACGCACCGGCGCAGATAATCATGTGGGAAATATAGACAGCAGCTGAGTGATTTGCTGCATATGAATCTGAAAAACGTGGAGACCAAGTGTGAGTATGCAACTGACCCAAGAACGTTTCTTTCTCTCTATCGCTCTCTCTCTCTCTCTCTCTCTCTCTCTCTCCACACAGTGGGATGCCATTAATGAGATGGACGAGTACTTCAGTCCCATCCACACTTACCAGGTCGGTAATGTTCTCAGTGTGCAGTGGGGTTGAGTGCTTTATTAGAATCAATTATTGTATGAACTTCAGTGCAATCACTTTGGTCCCAGGGAAACTTTGTATTATAGACAATATAATTAATCCGTTAACTGTTTTATTAGATTGGCTATAGTGCAGCAGAAATTATGAGCTGATTAATCAACTAGTCAGTCAACTGTTGACTTTACAGTAACAATTAATCATTTAAGTCAATTTTTTAACCAGAAATTCACCTCAAATCCTCACATTTGTTTCTTTTCATTATTTCTACAATAGTAGAACTATGACTATTGGACAAACCAAGTAAATTGAAACCCCTGGTAAAGAGTAATTGGCATTTTCCCTTTTTTCTGACATGTTATATAATGTTTAGTCAATTCATTAAGAAATCATCAAATATAAAATTGTCACTATTTACCCAGCATGGGGTAACCATGCTGTAAAACTTTTATTTCCCAACACAAAGATCAGAATCAGGTTTATTGCCAAGTATTTGACATATGAGGAATTTGCTTTGGTGTTTTGGTGCAAAACAATAAACATAGAAAGAAGAAAAAAAGAAAGAAAGATAAAGCAAAGTAAGTACTGCAAGTCAGGTAGCTTAAATATAAATAAAATGTTTTTTATGAATAAATATGATAAAAATGTGAAAGAAATATTATAAAAAGTATAAATATAATACAAATATGTACAATGTGCAGGTGTAAATGTTATTTCAAAGCTTTCTGCAATAACAGTGGTGGGGAAAACACACTATGAATTTTTAGTGAAATTTAAATGGTTTGAATCACTAAAACAACAACAACAACAACAACAACAACAACAATAACAACAATAATACTAATAAATGCTAGAATCTGCCTATGAACCAGCCAAGTGGTAGTTTTTAGTTGCAGGAAACTAATTCTCATCAGAGAGAAGACAGCGACAGTCGCTAAGACCCAGACAATCGTCAGTCTTGTAAATATGAAGCCATGCAAATGAATGGACTACTTCTTAAAGGGATGCATAAGCCACATCTAGAAACAGAACTACAAAAGTCTGAAAATGTTGAGGAAACGCTGAAGCACAAAGCATCTTTTAATGATAGTAATCATTGTTCTTATTGATGACAATGTTTTCTCTGCATCAGGTCTGTAATGTGATGAGTCCCAGCCAGAACAACTGGCTGAGGACAGGCTGGATCCCCCGAGAAGGAGCCAGGAGGATCTACATTGAGGTCAAGTTCACCCTGAGAGACTGCAACAGCATGCCCGGAGTACTGGGCACCTGCAAGGTAACACTGGGGGTTGAGGATGAATATGTGTAGGAGAAACACAGAAAGAAAAGTTCTTAGATGAGCGTAATGCAAATCATATTCTGTTAGCATAACCATTTAGCATTTCAAAATCACAATCTGAGATAAAGTCTATTTAAACTCTTGCACAGTTTAAAGACTCCGACTCTATGTGCTTCACTGTGGCCTTTAAACATAGGAAATTCAATTTTTGCTGAACAGGACTTTTGTGACATTTGGGGAGATTGATAAACTGCTACTGTTTTAGTTAACAAGTGACAAACTGAGAAAATGAACCAGCAGTAGCTTCAAGGCTGTTTTAATGACCAAATACAGACCTGACTGACCTTTTTGGGAATGTGGGAACAGTGTGACCAAAAATGTTTAAAAGTGCAAAACACCTTTTAAAGTTTTGAGCGTATTTTAATTTATTCAGGAAGTTGTATAGCTCTGTACTGTAGTGGTAACTGCACTGCTTTAATTTTGACTGCCATCACAAGGGTAAGTGGCCACTTGTGCAAATTATTTACTGGTGTAGGTATGGTGGGAAGGATTGTGTTTAAGCCTTTTGGAGAGGTGGATGCATTTACATCTTTTCAACATCTGAAAAGAATGTGTCTCAATCCACCTCCTGAAGTGGTTTCAGTCCATCTGTAATGCTTCCAGGTTGCATTGACACTTTTTTGTTGTTGGATATATATATATACTGTAAATCCCATTCGGACGGGATTAAGGTTACAGGAGAAGGTGGGAAAATAAAATATTTACTCTGCTCCTCATTCACTCATTGTTTCAGACCGGAAAATTACAAGAGGTTGTCTATATTAAACATGGACTCTCAAAGGGGGGATCTACTGTAGACATCCATGGGTACACAGACAGGAACAGCTAATAGCCAGTTTTGCATATGTTCAATGGTGCCATTTTTTCATGATGTGAACAAATATAGGCTAAAAATAGGGGCTTAAAAGAGAATACCAGTATCTACCAGTAGCGGACGTTTCAAGAGGATCTTGCTCCCCTGATGGTTTCCAAACAGGCCTCTACTGTATGTTGGTTTTAGCATGTTTCCAGATTAGCGAAACGTTTCTGACGTTCTTCATTTTCACACAAAAAGTCAAATTTCACACTGCGGATGACTGCAGGCAATAAAAACTAAAGATCCATTTTAAAGGCTGTCGCTCCAGATGGGATTTAAATTACAGGAGGAGCAGCTCACGGAAAAACAGTAAGTAAACCTGGCTGTGATTATTACGGGTGGGGGTGGAAAATTACACAAATATGCTCTCCGGGCAGGATTAAAATCACTGACCAGTGCAGGTAATGTTTTAAAATCACCTCATCTCCCCTAGAGAAATAAATCCAGTCTGAATGAGGCTTTTTGTAATAAACACATACACAGGACTCAAAGTAGCCTTGTTTATTCCAGGAAACCTTCAACCTGTACTACTACGAGTCTGACAGAGCGGTGGGCTCAGCCATACGGGAGAACCAGTTCATTAAGATTGACACCATCGCTGCTGATGAGAGTTTCACGGGGGTGGACCTGGGAGTCCGGAGACTTAAACTCAACACTGAGGTATGTGCTATAGCACCAAACAACAGCAAGAATACTGACTGATAGTACAAGGAAAAGTTAGTTCAGGCTCTTTGAAGCGATTTCTCACTCTGGATGGTGAGTTTATTCCAATTCTTAGCACGCACACCTCCATAGGAGTTCAAGACATGTTGGAAACATCCACAGCCCCGGAGAGCCTCCTCCAGTCTCGTCACTGAAACTGTTTTGCGCTCGGTTCTGCAGATCTGTGAAAGAAAACAAACAGCAGGGCTCGGATCAGTACCATGGGAAATACTTTGATATTGATAACAGCTTCGAATTTGATGCTGGATAGTGGAAGTACACTTTTACTGATATCTTACATTGTTACAAAGACAAAGATATGAAAGACCCTGTATATTTCATTGCTCTTTTCTTCTATCTATCTATCTATCTATCTATCTATCTATCTATCTATCTATCTATCTATCTATCTATGTGTAATCCCTTGGCTCCTAGTGGGAAAAATTACACCAAAACAGGAAAAAACAATCCTGAATCCTGTTGATTGTGATTACACAACATATGTTTCATTCCTGTCATTTACCTGAAATAGCAACAAAACATCCGTATAACAGCTCAGAAAGATCCGCACGGCTCATAATTAGCTATCTAATTAGCACACAGTGTTGATAAGTATATCAGGAGCTTGGTGAGTTTGACAGTGAAAAATCTATTCAATCCATCATCTCAGTTTGTAAACAGTAGCTACTAATTAGGCGGTAGTAATGGTGTTTCTGCGTGTAGACACTGTGCTTCCTGTACATCAGTGTACCTACAGGAGAAATAGAAAACCCATTCCGTGATGAGAAACAGTGGATAACCTAATGTAGTATCAAGGAAAATCTCAGCCAAGGTCGGTCTGTGTCTTCCTTCTTCTACCACTTGTAGAATGTCATCAGACAAACACAGTAAAAAACAGTGTGAACACAAACTCAATCAATACAGCTATCACTACAAATTACAAAACTGATCATTACAATAGGACAGCACTGTGGTGCAGTGGATAGCATTGTTGCCTCACAGCAAAAAGGTTCTGGGGCCTTTCTGTGTAGCGTTTATACTCAAGCTTCCGCCTACAATCCAAAGACATGCAGGTTAGGTTAACTGGCTACTCTAAATAAATAAAAGAATCTGAATAATCTGTGTGAATTTATTTTTTCGTTAGTGACCAAACTAAAATAATGAACTAACAAGCTTGCTAACAGTTGCTGCGTTAGCTTGGAGAGCTATAGTTCCTCTCATTAGTAACTGTTTTATTGAACAAAATGGTGAGCAATGTTGAACAAAATGCCAGGGGGGAGTAAGCAGAACTGTAGGATGAAAATAGAGAGACACTATAGGAGCTATTGTGACCGACTAGCACTAGCCCAGCTGGCTAGTGAGCTAACAGTTAGCTTGCTACAGTAGTTACAGCAGCTCACCAACTAACCTAAGAATATAGTCTCTACATCACAAAGCTTCTGTTTCGCATAGACACACAGATTCATTTTGGTGTATCACTTTCAGGTGTGACCAGGCATTTAGTCAGCAGGTAGTTTATTCAGCCAATAGAGCTTAATGTAGCTCAGTTTAGCGTGACCTTTATGTGTGATGTTAAGCAATTATATGAAAGTACCAGGCTTAGTTCTTACCTGAAACAATGACGAGATAAAAGAAACAACTAACAATATTTTGTCATTTATAATTTACAGCTGGTTGTACGTCCTGTTTTAGGTCTTTGCCAGCTTTTCCTTGAAGTTCAATATCTGATAGTTTATTGTCAATTCATGAAAAATACAGTAAAGAGCTTTCATGCCATGGCTATCGCTCACAAAACATGCTGTGTTTATGGACTGAGCAGATCTACCTCACAATCATGAATCAAGACATATCAAACTAGTATACTTACAGGTAGCTATTAAAAAGTCGATTAGAAATAACTACACTATGTCCTACTCTTAGCCGTCACCTTATTGGATGTTTGTGGGTCTTGACGCCAAAGTAAATGTGTCCCTATAATTTCAGATGCTTCCACAACAAACTTTTGAAATAATGTGTTGGATCAGTTCCTGGGTGTTAACAAGATCTACTGTGATGTGATATTTTACAAAACACAAATATACAGAAATATAATAACGTCCATGTTCCCAGGTTGTTGGAAGTGGAGCAGTTGATTAATGACTGCTGCCAAAGCACAACACCAAACACCAGTCCAGAGATTAAATTAAGGCTGTGTTCACACTGTTCCACCTGTTTTGTTTAGCAACCACTGTGGCAACCACTGTTTGAGCTTCTAGCATGAATTAGTGACAGAACTTTCCAAACTCCAGCTAGTTGTCTCATAAGGAGGTTTGATATATCCATATATCCTGCTTTCTTTATGTTGTGTGCAGAACAGAAGTGTACAGAAGTTCATTTACTATGTACTGAAAGTACACTTGTAAAGTCACCACAGGTGCTGCACATAAAAAAGTCAGTAAAGTTCAACAACTTCACTTCTTAAAGTGAAATTTAAAAAACAAAAAATGGTCAGGTGCAGTTCCCTTATGCCTCAGGGCAGCAGTTTCCTTTTTTGTCTTATAGCCCATCAAAATTGGGCAGTGTGTTGGTGTCATGAGTTGTGACCCTTTCCACCAGGTTTTGTAACATTTAAATAGTTAGAGGCTAGAAAAAGTAAATCTATTCTGTATTTCAAAAGAAAAAGAAGCAATTTAAGTCCCAGAAAAATGGTTTTCTCAATCATCTTACTAATGGTGCCCTACATGAGTAGACATCAGGTTTGGTTATTTCAAAGGAGAGATTTCTGTATTTCTCTTTTTCTGTTTCTCACTTGTTTGAAGTGGGCGGGATTCAGCTGGAAAAAGAGGATGTGACATACTTCCTTCCACCAATCAGAACTTAGCAACATTTGAACCAAAACCTGATGGCAGCAGGGTTGATGTTTGGTCAAATCTGATGAAAACACTCCTACACAGTCCTGATGAAGCCGATTAGATCATGTCTACCAGCTGTGACAGCGCTCCTGGCATTGTTTTCACCAGTTTGGCGACACCTATTGTAGCAAGAACTACCACAGAGGTGGTTTTGTGGTTTGGCAGGAATTTATATGTCTGTCTGTGGACAAACTTTGTCATGAGTATTGAGTTCTCATGTAATAATGTAGTAATGTGGTAATAAGTACTGAGTACTCATGGGTCAGCATGTCAACATGTGATGGCTGATGTAGTCCCATCACAGTGAAAACTGAAAGATTGCTGCTTATCTAGTTGTGACCATTTCATGTCACATACAGCAGAAATACTTAAAGGGGAACACTACTGATTGATAACATCATAGTAAGTTTCCAGGTGTCGAGGAGTAGGCTACCACTGCATGTGTGAAAAAACTTCTATAAACTCTCCAGGGTGAGCTATGTGAAGTCTGATGAACTGCTTTGAAGGATGTCATTTGAGTCAGTGTTGATTGGAGCTGAGGACTACAAGTTTGAAAGTGGGGGGTATGGAGAAGGAGAGAAGGACGTGAGTTTACCAGACTTCTCATCTTTGCTTGAGGCTAGCAGCTCTAGGCTACATTAACCGCTAATAGCATAACACACCCTAATCTTTGACTGTATTGTCAGCAGTCATGTTGCATTGTAGGTAATGTAGGCATCAAATTTTCACGAGGAGGAGCAATGTGTGGAACAAAGGAGACAATATATCTGATAATTTCCATCATGAGTTCGACAGTGTTACAAGAGTGGGCTGAAAAATACTGCTTTAGGGCAAAGTTTTTCTTCTCAGGCACAACTGCAATTTCAGGCCAAAACAGGCTCTGAAATTACACTGCATCATTTACACTGCATAAAGAAGATCTGGCCTGTTGAGACTACCACCCACTGAAATTTGCAGTGTGACTTTGTTTGTACCACTGCTGGCTTTGTGGCAGCACACGCGGAGGGTCTTTAATGCTTTCTTTCATTCTTGTTCTTTGGCTTCGAGCTTCACCTTGTTGTCACATCCAGCTGGATCCTGTTCCAATGTACCCCCTCAAAACAAGGAGAGGCATGAACGCACAGAGTCACACACAGTTACTGTCAAAAAATGAAATGAATACCCCCTTTGATGACTTGAAATGTGTGAGATGAGGTGTGAACTGCTCCTTTCTCTTCACAGGTGCGAGGTGTGGGCCCTCTGAGCAGACGAGGCTTCTACTTGGCCTTCCAGGACATCGGTGCCTGCATCGCCCTCACCTCGGTGCGGGTCTACTACAAACGTTGCGTGGGCGTGAGCCGCAACCTGGCTGTGTTCACTGACGTGGTGACGGGCGCCGACTCGTCCTCTCTGGTGGAGGTCAGGGGTCAGTGTGTGGATCACGCTGAGGAGAGGGACACGCCCAAGATGTACTGCAGCGCCGAGGGAGAGTGGCTGGTGCCCATTGGGAGGTGTGTGTGCTCCGCCGGATTCGAGGAGCACAGAGACTCCTGTGTGGGTAAGTTAATTGACGATGCTTTCACTTACCTGTTTGCTGTTGTTCAAAAGAACTCTGGAGCCTTTGCCAGTCGGTTTCCTTAGGTTGTGAAAAAACTATAATTTGAACTCACAACGACTGTTTGTTCGTGGTGTTAAGGCAAAGAGAGCGAAACTGTAGGTATGTGACTATAGTTTGTAATTCAAAAGCCTAAGTCCTATATTGTATAAATTGAAATGTCCGTGTGTTGTTTGATGATAAAGCAGGTCTAGGTTCTTTATTAATACTGTGAAAGTATCAAAGCCTTAGTCCACAGAGAAATACACACACAAATATTCACAAACTGAGCCTTAAAACCTGGAACTTTGTGATGTCACAACAAAGTAGCCACACCCCAAGCCCTGCCCACCTGGACCCACCATCCAATGTGCTGAACAGTCAGCCAATTAAAAGAGAGGCTCAGAGCCTCTTCTCTTCTGATTGGCTAACCGACCTGTTACTAGAGCTCCAGAGAGAAGCCTGAGAAAGGAGATGTAAAACTACAACAAAGTGTGAAGTCTGCGCAGCGAGCCAGAGGGGAGTGAACTTCATCAGAGCGAGGTGAACTTCAGCTGAACTGTTGCTCTGCCCTAAAACCTGATAAAGAGGATTATGAAACAGAAGTTTGATGTTCGCTCTCTGTATTTGGACAGCTTTTTTTTTTTGCAATCAGACAAATGCTTGGGGCTGCCCAAAGGGGAGGGGCCCCCGATGACCCCTCATATTGACAGATTTTGCAATGAAACTATAAACTCCTTAAACCTCCCATAAAGCATGTGAGGCATTCAGGGAATATCTGTTAATTGTAGTGTCCACTGATAGTCTGCATGTGAGGTGTTTAGAGGACAGCTGTAAATTGTAGTATCTGCCAATAGTCTGCATGTGGGGGGGGGGGGCGCCCAGAGTCAAGGATCACTACACATGTGATGCCAAAAGTTCTGATTCTAGAGTCACAGTCGTATAACGATCCTGACATGCTGTTACAGTATGTACACTGAAAGAGTTATTGGCTGCTGCTCAGCCGTTGTTCCTCCTGTCCATACAGGCCACAAACACATCCCTTCTACAAGCAGTTTTGTGAGTGATACGACCAAAACCTAAGCCCACAAAAGGATTCAACAGTCTGAGTTAGTTGGTATCTCCCGCTTCCACTTCCCTATCACTGGTATGACAACAGCAGCTCTTATAGGAGATATATTGTTGTCTGGATGCTGCAGTGAACACATCGCAACACACAAGTTTCTTTGAAACAGTTAAAATAGTTTGATGAAGCCGTTTTTATGATGACATAAACCAGATGTTTTATTCAGTCTTAATTCTACTGTATCGTGTTGTAAATGGTTACATCGTGTCTCGACACAATGTGACACAACAGCATCTGCTTCATAAAGCATTCCAACAATAAAGCAAGAGCCCCTAAAAAATGCCTTAAGAGCAAAAAGTTATAACAGACCAGTGTGATGTGTGTAGAGGTGTGTGTGGTTACTTTGGAGCAGCCTGGTGTTATTTGCATTGTGCTCTGACACAACACTTCTCAATTCGGAGGCTGCAGGTTTATCAATATACTGTATGTCGTGCTGCCTTCAGATGGCTGCAGGAATTTAATGAAATGAAAAAAATGAATTTAGTTATTAAATAGTTAAGTATTATTTCTTCATTTCTTCACATGTGCTCCAAATATTTAGTTTGTGGCAGCAGATTGACGTCGTGGTAGAAAACAGACCTGGTTCTGAGACGTCTTTTCTCAAAAGACACATTTTCCACTAAAATTCCAACTACTTTCTTTGCACCGCCTGATCTGAATGAACGTCCCACCTGTTTGCACCATGCGCTCTGCACTGGGCACCAAAAATCCCACGCAGATGGACAAAGTGGATTTCAAGGTCAGGAAAATACCAAACTGACCAAGAGTTGCTTGTGATGGTCGTTGCACCGCCACAAAAATAGAGGCCAAAGTTAACCAGAACTTAAAGGCAGTCATTTTTTGCCATCCCCTTTTCTCAGTAGAAAAATGTTCATATAAGCATTAGAGTTGCTCATTTATGTAACTGTGGGAAAGTTTCCTCTGAGCTCGGAGCATCAGCAGAAATGTCTGCAGAATGAAAAAAGCCTTGGAAATAACGTGAATTCAGGAAAGTTCGAACCTTTCTACTGAATCAAGGAGTCTGTTTGAAGCTCCGGCTGTGGCTCATGTAAAAAAAATATAAATGAAGTGAAGGAGTTCAAGGTCTGGTCAAAAGCTTTTCTGAGGTCTAATATTTTCCTCAGGTAGGTGAATACTGAGAAAACAGCTGTGTCTCATTCAGCCGTCCATGATGAATAATAAATGAGGTGTTTGAGATGCAAAGATTCTTGATCCTCTTTTATTTATTTTTTTTAAACACATTCTGTTTGTTTTTGTCTTTTGTGATTTTTTTTTCACAGGGTTTTGATAGGGTGACCTCATTCAGAGACCTGTGCATACTTCAGGTTGCCATGGGTTACTGTAATTAAAACCTATTAATCACAGAGCGATGGATAATTAAATGCTAAAAGCAGTTTGTCAGCTAAACGAGCCGAACGAGACACGCAACACCGGTTCACTTGCACACACACACACCCCCTCCTCTTCCTCCTCCTCCTCCTCCTCCTCCCAACACTTACACACACACACACTCACAAATCTCTTTTTGTGGTGTTTCCAACCTGAGGCCGGCGGCAAACTCCCTCTTGCTTGGACAGTGAGAGCCTCCTTGTCAAAATGTGTTTAAACGTGTAGGAAGTGGAGTGTATGTGTATCTGTCTGTGAGTGTGTGTCTGTTTGCGAGTGTGTGTCTGTGTGTCCGGTTCAGAGGGCCACTTACAGACTTTCTATAATTAGCTGCAGGCAATTAGCGGCAGCACAGAAATGCAAAACAGAGAAAGCAGAGGAAAGGGTGGAGGGAAAAATCACCTCGTGTCACATTTTGTTTATGGAGCTGATTTTCTCCACGTTTTAAGGCAGATTTAAATGTAACACGCTAATGGAAGTTATCTGAGGTTACAGAGATAGGATCCATCTAAAAACAGAGTGAATTTGCTGTATGATAATTCTCAGCTGGTGATGTGTTTACCCTCTATTTTACTTACTATTACATCATTGCAGCCAGAGCATAAAGTGAATTTGCAGTGAAAGGAAAAAAAAAAAAAAAAAAAAAAAAAAGGAAAGCTCTTCAATATATCCTCTGCTGACTTCTTGTCTCTTCTGGCACCAAACTGGGTCGTTGTGCTAATTCACCCTCGCCAAAGCCAGCCACAGTCACGCACACACGAGACCAGACAAGACACAGAGAGGAGGGGTGGGCACGAGATGGTGAAAGGAAGACGGCTTAAGTGGTGAGGACTTGTGTGTGTGTGTGTGTGTGTCTGTGTGTGTGTGTGTGTGTGTGTGTGTGTGTGTGTGTGTGTGTGTGTGTGTGTATAGAGGAAAAAAAAAAAAATCAGACATGAATGTGCGTGAATATGTGTGTGTATATGAGCGTGCTTAAGTGGTTCTCCCCTGACAAAGGTGCAGAGCTTTGGCTGAGATCACGACATGGTGTGTGTGTGTGCGTGCGTACGTGTCTGTGTGTGTGTGAACACAGGGTTGCGTGACATGCCGTTAAAAGTGTCACAGGGAGCGAAGCAATGAAAGACGAAGGGAAAAAGAAAGGAGGATGGAGGGAGAAAGACTCTGGTGGAGTGGTTGACTGGACCCCTCGTCCAATTGAGTTTACATCAAAACACTGAGAGTCTGTGAGAGTCTGTGTGTGTAGCTGTGCATACATGTGTGCAGGTGTGTACTGTATATGTGTGCGTGTGTCTGTGTGTGTGTGTGTGAGAGTGTGTGTATGCGTGCCTCCCAGTGCCACTGAAGAATGGACTAAAGTGCCCCATACAGTGAGAGCGATCGAGGACACACTGATATGAGACACACACACTTAGGCTGGTCACATCTACTCAGCTCAGCCGGCTCATCCAAGCCTGACACACACACACACACACACACACACACACAGAGAGAGAGAGAGAGAAAGAGAGAGAGAGAGAGAGGTCGTGCGTACATGTGGGTTAGCTCGCTCCTCTGCTCAGTCAATGGACCACAGCCTGTCCTCCTCTTCTGTGAACTGCACTGTGCCTCTGATACTTTCATGTGATTTATGATTTAGTGTGTAGGAAACAACAACATCCACATTATAGCACAGACATTCACACATTTACTGGAAATAACTACATTAAAATTCCCTTGACATATAGTTTTATCATTTTATTTCACCCTGAAGTAGGTTCAAGGTTCAAATCATCGTCCACCCAATCCGACAGTATCACATATACATTCTGTATCTCCTCTTCGTTTAGGCTACAGTATGTTTGGACTGAATTAAATATTCAAACCCAAGACTCCATCATTTTTCGCTGCACCAGTGCATCAAATAGAAATATTCTATATTTTTTCTGTACTAGAATTTAAAACTCTGGTTACACATCTTAATCTTTTTTCTCTGCAGCAAAAAATATTCATGACCAACTGAGCAAGAATCCAAATTTAAGTTCAGAAATAAATATCAGTTTAAATCTGCCTCTTTAGGACTTTGTGACTGTGGTTTCATCAGATTTGATTGACAGTGGCCCTGGCAACACAAGAAAACAACCCCTACAACCATTATCACAGTTTTATTTCAATGATGCTAAATCCAGAAACACATGACATCACAGTTTTACAGTGAAGCCACGCCCACTTAAAAAACAGTGAGAAAAGCTCATACAACAAAATAAAAAACACTTTAAAATAACCAAAATGTATATGATTACCAGACCAGTTACCAGTTTCTGTTAATGTGAGACTGAATCACCCAGAATAAATATATGACTGAGAAAATGGGTTTTCAGGACCGTAATGTTTGACTGAAAATCCTCCTGGTCAGGGAGGGGTTAAAAGTGTTTGTTTAAACCAAATTTATTTAAGAAATCAACGACACCCCATA